TCATGGGTTCTGCTTAAGTAACTCAAAACGGTAGAGTTTTTTTGGTTTGAATCAATTTTATGTGATAATAAAACTCAGACTTTTCATACGGATAATAGCAATCAAAAAACCTTGTTTCGCTGTTATTAATCGAATGACGAAATGCCCTCTTTAAGAATTCAAATATTGCATAATCGTTTTTCTGCAATTTACTCGAATCATGCATTTATTCGCAAAATTATAGATATTCGTCGACTTAAATCCTGATGCTTCCATATAGAATCTTTCCCGTATATTAGCATCGTTATCCTTTATACGTCTGCTTAATCAATCATCCTAATAAATAGGCTTAAATCTTCGTCTAATTCGGGAGAGGCCGGCTGTTTTTCGTCTGCCTCCAGTCTTTTTGCCGCATTCTCAACAGCACCTGGCTCACCTCGTGGCGGTGGTTGCGGTAGTGCAATCTCCGCTTCCCTGCTCCGACAGTCAGGCTTTCTGGGTCCTCCTGGTGGATTGTCCTTTTCCGCTACCCGAGCGCCTTCGAGTGTCGGGACTGATTCAGAGGAAACTATCGATCAGGACGAGACGCCTGAACAGAAAGCAGAGCGGGAGCGTACTCGACGACAGGCGAATAACGCTCGCGAAAGGTAGAAATTATTTTTCTAAATTATTCGGCTGGATTAATAGGTTTTATGTTAATATTCCCAAAATTTATTAAGATCTTAACTTTTAACTAATTGAACCATTTTCCATTGTACATTTGTTTGCTGGACCCGACTTATTAGGTTAGTTTGAGTAGTTTCCTCCCAAACTATTAGATCTATCAAAGATTCACTTAGTATCTTTTCATTCATAGGATCGCATGTGCGCAAAGGCAGGAATGATTCAAACATTACATTGATGCTAGGACTCAACATATGACTTCATGCTTGTGTATGATTTGCGCAAGTATATCACCAAGACAAATTTGATTGGATCCTATCATTAATTTCATGCTTTGTGACATGACCTCGCTTGCTTTAATAACTTTTACTAGTTCACTTTTGGGTGGATTATTGGACAACCATTCTTTCTATATGAGTCTCGCATCGATGTACGCTAATTCTGACCAACCACATACATATATCAACGTGTCTAGACTCCGTGTGCGTGAGATCAACGATGCTTTCAAAGAACTCGGCCAAATGATCAATCTACATACAGGCAACAGCCAACCCTTGACCAAGCTGATGATACTTCAACAGGCTGTCACTGTCATCACAGGCCTCGAATTTCAAGTTAGAGGTATCGGCTATACTGCAAGCTATGTGAAACCGCATGTGCTTTAGCCGCCTAACCCTAGAGTTGTAACCATATCGGCTGAGAATGTGTTGCTTAGGCATGCTTCAACTGACTTGTACATCAATTATGCTGCGAAACTTGTTTCTATTCTACAATGCTCTGGTAGGGTTGCCTTACGCATGAAATAAGCATCTTTCCAGCGGAATTTTTCGTTGACTATTAGAAGAATTTTTCAGATTTCTTGTCCGCTAAGCTGTGAAGTATTTCTTCATCAATACCACATACTACGCTCTTTTTTGAAAGGAATAATTAATGTTTAATTGGAAGCTATTTAATCCATTAATTCTATTTATAAAAAGCCTTTATTCATTGTGTTTCGTCTGTCCTACCTTCAAACTCTAGTTAGGCATACTCAATTTCTCGTCTACGTATTTACTTTTGTTATTTTCATTTCCTATTTTTTTAGTATTATGAACGTATTATTATTAAATGGTTTTCTACTTCATTGGCCAAAAATTTTGCTATATCTTCATTTTTAAATATTTCTCATCAGCTCAGTCCTAGGAATTACCTCTATTTCTTTTTATTTATAGATTATATTTTTTCTAACAATTGTGTAATTTGCGCTATTTAGAATAATTTTACCAGGTAACTTGTGCATCGTCAGTCTGACGGTCATCTATCTGGTGTAGTGCTTTTGAGGAGATCTCTCAACCCTTTTCAGATATGTTGATTTCTATTCATTTACAATAGCCCCGAGAATGCCTTGAAATTTGTTAATTTTGACGTAATCATCAAAAATCAATTCTTCTAGACTAGGTTATATATGAACCAGTTTGTGACACCATTATATCTACGGATATATTTCGCTCTACATTAATCTAGAGTTCGTATTGATTCTCTGCTTATTTTTAGTGAATGGTAATAAGGCTTGCATTCTTGATTCATGGGCTTTCGTTATTTTTTTCATTAATCATAACAAATCTATCATTTTACCAACCAATTCACTATTTTAGCCATCGGTATTTGATCCTCCTAATTTCCTATTTTATCCAGCTATGACAACATTAAGGCCTTTGATGATTAGACTCCTGTTCATGAATTTGTAGCTTTAATTTATTGGATTTTTCTTCGCTATAGTTCACAACCGACCATAAATGATTATTCCT